ATTTATTTTCCGTCTTAGGCTTTTGTTTCTGTTGTTTTTCTGGCAAGGATGGAAAGGTCACCTTGCAAGGATGGAAAAATTCCTGACATAAAAGGATTTAAGGAGACCCCTTGGCGCGATATGACGATAATGCTGCACAAAGCCTTTTTCTCCCTTTTATCCTCCTTTTCAAGGGGAATCTTATCAAACATCACCTTCTTCTTCATTCACAACATTGAAAGAAGCTAACTCATAATGTGAAGGCTGAATCGAGATGTTACGATGCACACATCCGAGGGTATAACTGCTACAAAACTTCACGCTTCATCTGGCTACGCTCCCAGATTAGCAGGCAGTTCACCTTGCTTACAGGGAAGGTCTTGTCGGGATATTGATGATGTGCTAACCGATCTGTTTTCTTTCCTTTCAAATATAATTTGGAGTCTAACCTTGTCCATTTACTATTTTTCATAATAGCAATGAGGGCGAAAAGAGTTTTGCAGTGGCAGTTCCTGGAAAGGAATCGGACTAAGATCAAGTAAAGTGAACAAAACAAAGATAGATTATTTTTTTCGTAGGCTAATGCAACAAAAACGCTACGAATGAAAAAATAATGACCTATTTCAACACACATATCCTGAGTACATCTAATTTCAATTTCAAATTAATCGCTTCAACAATGATACTCAAATTTCCTTTTTTTTCGTCGGCTAATGCAACAAAAACGCTACGAATGAAAAAATAATGACCTATTTCAACACACATATCCTAAGTACATCTAATTTCAATTTCACATTAATCGCTTGAACAATGATACTCAAATTTCCTTTTGAGGTCCTTACCTCTTTGCTTTTTTTCCCCTCTTAAACTATCACTACTTCCCACAGCATTWGGAAAAGTGCGAATGTAACRTGTTTCCCGTCTTCGGCGACCGTTGATCATTTTCATCACTAACCTCCCACCCTCCACGTGGCGAAAGTACCCTTCAGACTTTGCACGTGCAATTACATATAGAGAGTCGTTGTTTGACAGCTTACAAAGTTGAGTCAAGAGAAGTGACATASCGTTCAAACAAAAGCCCTCAACTGTATATGGCAACGGTTAACTGTCAATACTAAGGCAGTTGTAGAATTCGTTTGTAGATAAAAGATAAAGAATGAAGTTTATATTCACACAATYAGTTTCCTCAACATATCGGCCTGCACTTGTAGTCCGAGACATAGGATGCATCTGAGCGCGTTCAGAGCTTTGTATACATAATTCTCATCCAAACATACCCCTCGGCAACGTGAACATTTTGGTTGTGTGGCGGAT